TCTCTCTCTCTCTCTCTCTCTCTCTCTCTCTCTCTCTCTCTCTCTCTCTCTCTCTCTCTCTCTCTCTCTCTCTCTCTCTCTCTCTCTCTGTTGCACGTGCACTCATGCCTACCACCTCCCTGCCTCTTTCGCCTCTTCCTTCTCTCTCGCCGTCTCCCTCCTCCCACGATGAGTTATCTGCTTCCTGACCCCATATCTCTCTCTCTCCCACTCTCTCGCTGCCTCTGTGTCTGCTCGTCTCTCTCCTCTCTCCTCCCTTTCTCGCATCCCGACACCATCTCTCTCGCTGCCTCTGTGTCTGCTCGTCTCTCTCCTCTCTCCTCCCTTTCTCGCTTCCCGACCTCATATCTCTCTCTCTCCCACTCTCTCGCTGCCTCTGTCTGCTCGTCTCTCTCCTCTCGCCTACCTTTCTCGCCTCCCGACCCCATCTCTCCCTCTCCCACTCTCTCGCTGCCTCTATATCTGCTCGTCGGTCTCCTCTCTCCTCCCTTTCTCTCCTCCGGCGGTCGTGTAGCAATCTATATATACATAGCAGCAGCCTCGTCAGTGGCATTTTCACTGCTCACTCAGAACTACCTCTCCTGTGTTCTCCTCAGACCCCTTCCTCGCCCCACCTTTCATCACCCTCTCTGTTCATTCTCCTCTATTTCCCACCTTATATCTGGCCGGCCGGCTTTATTGATTCTGGGTTGGTTTCATCAATAACTTTTCATAAGAGCAGAATCAGTGCAATTCTCAGCTTACTTACTCCTGTCTTCTGTGACCTCAGCTACTACGGTTGTGACCGTGACTGCAGATGAGACTCACCGCCTGCGCGAAAGATGGGTGGTGGTGGTGGTGGTCATCGCTTCAATTCTGACTCTATCAGGCATTCGCTGTTTGCTAACATCCCTGTGTGCTTGCCTACTACCAAGGCTGTGACACTATCTGCCCGCTCAGCCTGATAACTCATTGCCGTGACAGTGTCTCCTGTCTGTTAGCTCACTACTGCCTGTGTCACGGGGACAGAAGGCCGGTCATCATTTGTGAATCTATCAGGATTCGACCAGCTGATGACTCACCGCCTGCGCGAAAGNTCGACCAGCTGATGACTCACCGCCTGCGCGAAAGATGGGTGGTGGTGGTGGTGGTGGTGGTGGTCATCACTTCAATTCTGACTCTATCAGGCATTTGAACTCGTGAATCTGCTTGCTGTTTGCTAACATCCTTGTGTGCTTGCCTACTACCAAGGCTGTGACACTATCTGCCTGCTCAGCCCTCAGCCTGATAACTCATTGCCGTGACAGTGTCTCCTGCCTGCTAACTCACTACTGCCTGTGTCACGGGGAAAGAAGGCTGGTCATCAATTCCGAATCTATCAGGATTGGAGCCCATGTTCTGCTGTTTGCTAAAACTTTTGTGCGCTTGCCTACCAAGGCCGTGACACTGTCTCCTGCCGACTCACTGCCGGCTGTGTCAAGGGGAAAGAAGGCTGGGTATCATCGACGACTGTTGCCCCCATGAGAATCCGAACGAGCTCAGGTTCTGTTCGTTAACAACAGCTAGTCAGCATTCACGTGTATCACGCACACACGTGGCACACACGTGGGCTGGGCTTGGTTGGTCGTCATCGACTCTCTCTCCTCTCGACTCCATCAGGATTGCCCCCATGAGAATTCGAACGAGCACAGGTTCTGTTCGTTAACAACAGCTATTCCTNTCGTCATCGACTCTCTCTCCTCTCGACTCCATCAGGATTGCCCCCATGAGAATTCGAACGAGCACAGGTTCTGTTCGTTAACAACAGCTATTCCTCAGTCGCGAGTGTATTACGCACACACGTGGCACACACGTGGCACACACGTGGGCTGGGCTTGATTGGTCGTCATCGACTCTCTCGCCTCTCGACTCCATCAGGATTCGAACGCAGGTGCTGTTCACTAATAACACAGCAGTCACTCACACGAGCAACGAGTGTATCGAGCACACGCATGGGCTTGATTGATTGGTTGTGTGTCATCGACTCGTCTCGACTCCATGAGGATTGGAACAACACAGGTTCTCTGTTATCTGACAAAAGCTGGCTGGTCGGTGCACACTAGCGTATCACGGACACACACATGGGCGGGCCTGATTGGTTGTCATCGACTGAGCTTCAGCTGAGCCATCTCTCCTTGAGGAAGGATCGCTCGCCGAGAGTAAAACTCCGAGAAGTCCAGACGGAAGGAGAGAAACTTCAGCCCCGTGTGGTGCTGCAGCGGGAGTTTGGCAATGAACTCGTCGAAGAGCGCAGTGTACTCCATCGCGATCTTGTCCATATGATCCCCCATCGCTGTCAAGAAGGACTCAGAGCTCTCCATCTCGGCAGCCGCAGCCGTTGATTTCGCCTCCTCCGCCGCTAACCCATAGAGCGAACTCGTGGTCGACCTTCTCTGTGTCTCTCTCGATGCCCTCTCATCCCTGCTCTGCAAATCTCTTGCCCGCTCGTACAGCCGATCTGCGAAGCCCCGGAATCTCAGCATCAGGTCGAACATAGAGAAGAGCGTTCTGCAGAGTTGCTGGGACTGCTCCCCAAGAAGAGCTTTTTCCACAATGGACAGCAGAAATTTCTCGTGGGCTTTAATCAATTTGTCAAGATCGTTGGCAACTTCGATTTCCGACAGAAAGTCCGCCCAAGAGCATTCCAACACCTCAAACATTACGTAATACTGCAGGTTGGTGACGAAGTGGTTCATCTCGCTCCTCAGGGTTTGGCATCTGCGCAAGACCCCGCCAAGGGCTTGGCGCGCTTTGCTGAGCGGCCCCCCGCCCCCGCCCCCGCCCCCACCGCCGCCGCCGGAGGCACCCACGCAAGAAGAAGATGGATGCCGATCGCCTCTGGCGACTGCCGCATTAGGCTTCATGGTCTGCCAAGTGGCACTGAGCGCATGTTCCACCCGCTTCAGACGCCACAAGAAATTGAATATGCGCAGATAAAGCTTCATGACGTTCTCCGTGAATATCGTGCTGAGCGGCATCGTGGTCAGGTACTCCAAGGAGAAGACATCCCAGCCCTTGTCGCCATCGACGTGCGCCATCATCTTGACCCGGAGTTTGTCCAACACTTCGCCGTCGTCGTACTGGGCATTCGATGCCCTAATGGCGCTCTCGAGCAAGCCGGTCAGCTTGAACGCGCTGATCTTGCCAGCTGGCAGAGAGAGCTCCGACCCAACCAAATCCATCAAGTACTGGATGAAGTCTCCCTGCCCTAGCAGAAGATACCGTTTGATGGCAAGGCAGTGATCCCTGAACCTGAACTTGTCAAACATGATCTTAATTAGTCGAAGGTCGATCCTCGCGGCGGCCTCCTCGACGAGCTTTTCCAGGGCTGCGGTGTCTCCGTAGCCGATCCCGACGACCGATTTCCCCACGGCCGCGACTGCCTCCGCCGTCGCGTCCTCCCACCCTTGATCTCTGCAACACCTCCTCAAGAAGTTGATTGACTTGCCCGTCCGAAAGATCCGCCTCGCGAGGGATGCTGGGATGAACGGAGGGAGCATCTTGCCGTGCAACCGGTAGCACTCCCGCCACAGCCCCTCGTCGCTGACCGACCGGTCGGCGACGACGAAAAACTCGCCGTGCGAGTCGTCCAGCTCCCCCTCCAGCACCCATCGCTTCACCATGTCGAAGAGCGGAGAGCACACTCTCCGTAGCAACTGCGCCATGAAGGCGCGGACAAAGGGATCCCCGTGCTGCGCGTGAATGTGTATGGCCGCTGCCAACGCCCCGCCTTTCATGTCCTTACACGTGTCAACTAGGACGGCCATCAAGCGCATCCGCCGCAGAGGCTCCGCCAACCAAACAGCAAGCCGGCGAAGGGAGAGATAGGCGCCGCCGCCGCCGCCGCTCCCCGCGCCGTCGGCCAAACTCGTCCCGACCGCAACTTCCTTCCCGCTGCCGCTGCCGCGGCCGCTGCCCGCCGCCGCTGTCTGTGCATCCTTCCCACCGCCTCCGCCGCCCCCGCCTCCGCCGCCCCCSCCSCCCCCSCCSCCCCCSCCRCCCCCSCCSCCSATGTTCTTGACATTCGCATTATTGCCGTTATTGCCGTTCAAATCATCGTTATCATCGTCATTTTCCCTACGATCATCACCCTCATCGTTAGCACGACTATTCTCATCATCAGCATGATTACTGCTAGCAGCATGTTTGCTACCGCTACTGGAGTAATACCCACGACTACCGCCCCCACTCCTGGCGATCTCCGGGGCGCGTTCGTCAAACTGACCGTCCAGCGGGATGGCGTTATGCGCTTGAGCTTCCAACACAGCAAGAAGGCGGTAGTACTCGGCGAGTTCCTCCTGTAGAGCTGCACAGAAGGCTTGTCCCACTGTCCCAATGGCCTCGATCTGGCCCCGTCCTCTCTCTAGGTTGTCGGTCACGTGAGCGCGAACGCGCCGATAAAGCCATCCCAATTCGCAAAGCTTGCGCAGACGTGTCACAACTGCCGGCGGGACGGGTGCTTCACTACCCACCACCAAAACGTACCCATCCGCCTCCTCGCTCCACTTGATCCAGCGGCCGTCGATCCCCTGACACGTGTACAGCACGTCCCGTACAAGCGCCGCCTCAGGAACGCCATAGCCAGATCGCCTAAGCTCAACGTACTTTTGAAATGCCGCAATACGTGGGTGCTGGTACAGCAGCTGTTGTTGTTGTTGCTGGTGCTGTAGATGGGCATGCGGGGGCAACGGAGATTGTGGAAAGGGGGAATAAGTGTGAGGAGGAGGAGGAGGAGGAGAGGGTTCTCCTCGCTGTGGGGGAATCACGTCGCTCTCGTCCCATGGAAGTTCCAGTTTCGGCCTCGGTCGGCGGATCGTCGCCCCGATCCTTCCTCCTCCGCGTGGCGCCCCCGCCAGGGCAAACGGTTCCTCCTCTGCCGATAATCCTCCTCCTCCTCCTCCTCCTCCCCTACCCCCTCCTCCTCCTACTCCTCCTCGTTGGTAGTCATCGAGGCTTCTTGGCGCAATTTTCCCCCCACCTGCTACGCATGAAGACAACGGCGTTGGGGTTGATCTGTCGGTCGGCGTGCTCAGCGAGCTGGCCGATCGCACGGTCAAGAGAGGCAGCCCGCCTCTCGCCGCAGCCAGCGACAGCGTAGAGCAGAAGGGGATCGCCGACCCACGTGTGTCTGACGTGTAGCCCCGTCGTTGGTCCTCCGATATAGAGTTCAGCATATGCAGAAGCGCCCAGCGATTCTCCAGCCGCCCGCTACCGGTCGCCGACGCCAGCTTGCGATGCAGATCGGCGAACGCCATGGCGTCCGCGGTCCTCCGCTCCATGACCAGTCGCCGCTTGATTGCCTCCACCACACCGTTCTCATCCGTCGCCAAAGACGGAGTGATCCGGCTTCCGATGATGCGGATCGCATACTCGAAGGCTGCATTGACACGTGGCGTGCCTGTCGGGGTCCCATTGCTGTCGCAGCCTCCACCGCCACCACCTCCCCCCCCTCCTCCTCCTCCACCCAAAGGACCGCCGATCTCGAGAGCACTGCGATCCAGCAGAAAACGCCGGACAAGCTGCAGCACAAGCCACTCCACCCTCCCGCCGCCCATCGTTCACCCCCCCGCCAAACCTAACGTCATATTCCTGCCCCTCTCCCTCCCCAGCTCACCAGCTGATAGAAAACCGAAGTAGTTCTCCGCCTGTCGCATTCTCCTTTCTCACCGCCCNCCCCCCTCCTTTTCCTCCCCCTCACACCCTGGGTCGCCAATCAATGATGAAGGAGCCAGTGACTGCCACATGGACGGCCCCGATCAACAGCCTTTAGCCATTCCAACCTCCCGCCGCCCATCGCTAAACCCCGCGCCAACGGAAACGCCGGCACGACCCGCTTTCCCGCCAACACCCCTCAGCCGATTAATTAAGAAATCAGCGACCGGACCGCCACGTGGACGCCCCCGATCAACAGCCGCTACAGGCTGGCTGATTGGCATATATAACCTTCTTCTTCCCTTCCCTCTGCCACGTCACCAACCAAGCAGCCGCCTCACCGCCCGATCGCCACGTCATCGACCTGTAATTAGCCTCCTCCCACGATCCATCCATCTCACCTGTCCAGGGTCTTCGTAGCGATCACCCTAATCAGCAGATGTCTATCGTGTTCCAGCTGCCTGCCAGCTGTAGGGTCAGTTCTGAGAGAACGCCCCCCCACGCTCTCATCCCGACAAGCATCGGCAAGGGACGGGGCGCGCTCGACAAAACGGAGATCCTACGTGGCAGTGCAAAAGATCTGGCGCGGCGACTGACAGTCAGGACTCAGGACTAACGAACGACCAGGCACGATCAAAACGGCATGAAGGCTGCAGAAACCAGGGGCAAGGTCCCACTTGCACGGATTAGGAGATTGCGGCCGTTGATCTTCGCTATCGACGGTCAATATCGCATAATTCGTGCAAGTGGGACCTAGCCCCAGGGCCAGGCTCGTCGGTGTTCTTTTTTTCTGGCGCTTTTTTCACTTCACATTACCATCTTCTGACATTTTGCTACGGGGGCTACCGCTACCATCTTCACCCGAATAGAACGCCCGGTCATTATGGCCGCATCTAGACTGAAAGTTGCACCAAATACGGCGATAATGACCGGGCGTTCTACGGTGGGTCCCATCACCAGGGATACATACTGCATTTGGGACCGTAGATTACGAGGATCCGCAGCCAACGTTCCGGAGCCTCCGGAAATGCCAGAGAACCCATAGGCTTTGCCTCAGCCGAAATTTGAAACCTTCTGGAGGGCATTCTCACACATGGGTAACAAACACAGCAATAGCAAACATTTGCCGCGTTTGCCACACTCCCACTGGTTTGCCATTTTGCTGTGTTGCGCAATCACACAGGGGTGGTAAATTGGAAAAGACAACGCCACTTCGCCCTGCCATTTGCGAAATTGCCCTCTTGTGTGGTCACACAGCAAACGGTACCCGTACTCCAGGGATGCCCGCAATTCTCTTCCGTAAACTCTCAGATTCGGGGGGAAAAAAAATTTGCCCAACACCTCTAGAAAAGGAGGTATGTTCCATGACATGGCAGACCACCAGTACCTCGCCCAGCTATAAAAAACAGTCGCGGCCGTGCGCCGCGACTTTCGGGGGTCGGGGAGTTGAAGGACCAGGGGCCTGGACCGACTAACAAGGTATTCTACCACGCCGTTCAGGATTTCGATCACGTGTGGCATCGAGTGACTCAGTACGGCCGTCGAATAGATCGTAATTCGACGGCCTGGTGGTTTCCGAGGGGGACTGTAAAGCTGCCCACCTCCCGTCCAATGAGATGCGTCGAAAAAAATAAACAATGAAGTTGGACTAACTTGGACATGATAGCTCGTGGCTTTGCGTGGGCGGGAAGTCAGGATTTTATGGGCTCTAAAGGGGGGGGGTTGATTTCCAGACTTCGTTTTTTTTTTTTTTTTTGGCTCTGAGAAATAGAACTTGAAATGTGAAATTCGAATATTGTGGTGCATCTGACAGGAACGCTTCCGCGTCTGTCGGATGGCCTGCTAAAGGCATCATGAGATACATCGCGAGGAATGTATCCCAATACTCGTGGCTGTGTTCGTGGACACATTTTATTGCCACGGTACATCACTATGAAGACTTACGTGAAGGAGATCGTACCAACCCATGAATTCGGGTGCATAGTTGTTCTTCATACTTTTATGTGCTATTTCAATTCATTCATGCAAATAAAAAATCACTTTGTATTTTCCAAAAAACCATAAAACTATGTCACACGTGGTAGAATACTTCACTAGTTAGTGGGTTCAGGCCCCAGTAGGAGCTCTTTTTCTTTAGAAATTACAATAACCCAAAAAAAGAAAAAACGAGATACCACTTCAAAAAACAAGAAAAGAAAAAAGAAAAAGAAACAACAGAATTCAAGGGCGTGGGGAGGGTTCTCTCTCTCTCTCTCTCTCTCTCTCTCTCTCTCTCTCTCTCTCTCTCTCTCTCTCTCTCTCTCTCTCTCTCTCTCTCTCTCTCCACGTGACCCAAAGATGAAAAGTGCAAACGGATATTTGTTTTTCAATTTTTTTTTTTTTCGAAGAAGAATGTCGATTTTTTTTGTTTTTCGTCTTCTTTTTTTCCTCCGATGTGTACCTACTAGTAACTCGAGGCTTGGCAAGGTTCGGGATATCGGTAGGCTGAGCCATGGACCTTAACAACCGCTAGGTACTGGTGGCTTAAAAAGATATGTGAGGTGAGAGAAAAATGTATGGCTGTCCCCCGGGACCTTGTTCCACTTCGTCCGTTGAGCTAGGCCCACGTTTAGTTTTCTACTCCGTGCGACTGTAGGCGACGAAGGAGATGCACGCCCTCGCAATCATCCAGCGGTCCGCTCGTTTTTCAATTGTGAATAGATATTCTCGCGTTTTTTATTCCAACAAAATAGTTTTAAAAACACCGTTTTCTCGAATGCTACACTCCCTACCCTCACCACTTTTCGTTAAGCTAGCTGTCTCCTTTTTGCAGAGCCAGTTCAATGACCGTTGGCATCCTTTCTGGAGTTTTTTTTCAATGTTATTTTATTATGTTTTGAAAAATCTTTGAAGTCGCTTGTACTTTGCTATTTTCGTGCGACTTTTGAAGGACCTAATATGCGTGAACTCAGGCAATTTGGTGCGACCTTTGAAGGACCACGTATGCGTCAACTACGGGAATAGGGAAACTCTTCATAGGATCGGGGCGACTCTTCGGACATCACGTATGGCACTCCAATTGTGTGGTGGTGGGGGGAAGAATGAATTGTGTCTTAGGCGGATTTTTTAATACATTTATGAATTAAAAATGAATTATTTAAAAAAACAGTTTCATCCGTCACACCATTGAGCTAGGTCCACTAAATAGTGCATGTGGGACAAGGTCCCCGATGAGGAGAAGGCAGCTTTAAAAAAAAATAAAAGTAATAAAAAGGAGGTAAATTGCTTAGGAGCAGTGGTAAGAAAGGTAGTGACAGACATAAATAATTTGAAAGAATGATATAGTAAAAAATAAAAAAAAAGAGGTAAATTGTTAAACTCCTTGGAACTTTCTCCTCTGCATTGTATTATAAACCACCACTTCTCGATTTATGTGTGTCATCCTTGCACGTTGGGGCCATGCTAATCTTCTATGTAAGGATTTGCATTGTATTTTGGCTTTGACACTAGGCCCGTAATAATCACGTACTCACACAGCGGTGGCAGTCTAGCAAAATCTGCTGAATTTTCTTTGCCATGTTTGCTTAAATCGTACCCCGCCCAGTCACACATGGGTTGCAAATCATAAAGGACACAAGCGGGACTCTCTGGCAATTACAAAATTGGTGCCTCGAATGGTCACAAAGCGCCGAAATTTTATTTTTTGAATTTCCAAAAGGAGAAAGAGAAGTTGCCACGTCCGAAAAAGAATTTGCCACCACCTCTCGAGGTGGTAGGAAAATGTCCATCCCCGCGGTCCCCAGGCCGCTGACAAATGTTACCCCATTTGCAACTTTGGTGATCGAAAAACCCTAGTGTGACTCTGACTGCATAGCGAATTTTGCGATTTAGCAAAAAAAAATGTTAGTGTGAGTATGCCATAAACAAGGTGTGACTGCAGGCCACTGAAATTGGCCACACCAATTGCAAATGGATGGGTGGGTGGGCAAAGTGTGACTGCAAAACTATAGCAAATTTTGTTATTTTCGGCCTCGTTCCATACTAGTGCACTACTCTCACACTACAATGTTTGCATTGTTCCACAGTGCAATACACGTTCATGACATGATTAGGGTTCTCGCCCTTTTTAAAGCGAGGCAGAAAAGTGTAGTGCGGTTTTAGTGCAAAGTAGGAAAATGGGTCGGATTTTCAAGTCACCTCTCCCAGGTCACTACACTTCTCCCACAAAATGGTGCGAGTGCCTTGCTGCATGTTGGTTTTGTGCCATCCCCATTGATGTTTTTTTTTTTCTCTTTCCTGTTTTCACTTATGTTGGTCCAAGGCCAAATTTCAAATCACATTTTCCGGTCGTTTTTTGTAGGGCTAGGTGGAACGACGACAGACTGTGGTATTTTTTAGTTACTAATACAAATATATTGCAGGTGTACTACAACACTACAGTCTGCTGTCATGGTGTGGTGTGGAACGAGGTCTTTTGCTGAAAAAAACTCTATGGTGAGTAGGGCCTCAGTCTCTTTTCTTATCATGGGTTCTTCCATAAGAGACCTTGCCAAGTACGGACTGTGCTCTCAGCTACCCCAATCTCTACCTAAGGCTTGTGCTTCACAATTCAACCTGGAGGAAAAACGGAGTTCCACATGCGCGAAATGTTTTTTTTCATTTCGCATGTCTCGGCAAACATTCGGGGGCTAGGTCCCACCTAACGCCATCGAGTTTTTTCAATCATGAGTGGCAGTGGGTAACACGAATGAACCATCCTTGGCTCATACTTTGGCCGCTGACCCTTCATGTCAACGCACCACGTTAGCTGGTGGCACCAGGCAAAATAAAGTTGCATTGGTTCATTGTTTTGGGCGTACAATGCATTTCCATCATCAGAAAAAAAATGTATCGAAAGTACTCGCGGTTTAAACCACCAATACTTGGGCCATATATCGGTCCAACTACTTATCCACAACAGTTTGAAATTCACTCGACATCAAAGAGTTTTTGAAAAATACAATGTTGTACTTAAAAAACAAACCATGAAAGTTCACAGCTACTATTTGGTAGAACTCAAAGTCCTTCGTGACACGAAAGATAAAGGAATTTAAAAAAAGGTTACTAGAGTTTCATACCAAGCACAAACAGATTTAGAAGATACATTGATCTAGGAAGTC